CGAAGCGCCGTGAGGTATTTGGCGATTCGCATGAAGGGTGAGCTGCATCCTGTTAAGGGTGTTCGGCATCTTGTGCTTACTTCCTTGCGTACGGATGACAGCTACGTATGACTTAATTTATTTTCTGGTGCTTTCACTTCCAGAGACAGTTGTAAGCACTGTGTAACTGCCTCGAGGAAGCTTGACCATTTTAACACAACGTGGTGCGATCATCCCCCGTTGCGCGGAGTGAGGGTTCTCGACCCCGCACAACATGATCTACTCGACCACCATTATGGTTACCGCCAAAAAAAAAACCGAGGTAAAAAAAAAAAACGGTAACCTGGTTGCCGAGTTCACGAAGTGAATTGGCCTGTTTTACAACGTCGTTGCCAAGCGACGAAAACCCAATCCCGATGGCAAACACCGAGTGGGGGGCTTGTTTTACAACGTCGTTGCCAAGCGACGAAAACCCAAACCCCGATGGCAAACACCGGGGGGGGCGGGGGGGGGGCAGAATCAGTTGCGTGCGCCAAGTCACGCGTGATCTTACCAACCACGAACCCCTTTCTAGCAGGGACTAAAGGAGGGTGAGGGTGCCAAGTGACATGACTCTTTCATTTTTTATTATTTTATTCCTCTTTTGGTGTTTGCCTTTTCGAGTCTGCGGGACACGGAAGGTTCACTCATTGATAGCGAATCTCAGCTGAGGCAAGAGGAATGTTTGAACAACCGTTCCCCTTGCAACAAGAGTCACATCTTGTCGATGTTGGCATTTTTCTTCTTTTTCTCTCTCTTTTTTATTGGCAGGAAGTATTGGAACTTGCTCGGGTACTTGGCATCACCTCTGTACCTTGTTTTGGTCGAGTTTACGGCCACTGAAGACATCATCTCATTTTGATTCAGACAAAAAGCGAGAGGAGTTGCCGGATGCGGAGGTCAGAACGGACGTCCTTGTGAAAACAGACAACACCCAACGAATCGAACAAAAAAACATGACCAACGGCCTCCTCCCTTCCCACAAAAAAAACAAAATCGAGATACAGTTCAGGGAGGCTTTTTATTACGGTTACGTTTCCTCGTCCACGAAAAACAATCTACATTAGTTTTCCGTTATGAAGGAGGCTTTCCTTGTCGGTTACGTACCTGCGCGCTTCCTTCTTGGCGCCGTCCATCCCCATCAGCTTTGGGTATGTAGTCTTGTTCACAGCTTCGTCCTGTGGTGGCCAAGCACACAACAGTCCCAGTCCAGCAACGCCACAAAATCACAAACGGATTCACGAGCCAAGTTCAGCAACAACACCACAAAAACACAAACACACACACAGCGAGAACTTCATCAACAGCACAAAAGAAAAACAGATTAACCAGGGAGCCATGGGTCAACAACACAGCCGAGTAGTCGAGGGAATGTGACAGAGATGGATGCAGGCATCCTATTAATCGGTGAACCAATCAATATATCGAGGTGCCCACCCTTGTGCGATCCAGAGTACGGCAAGTCGTGGCCTTATTCATGGCCCCCTTGTCGAAAAACAACAAAGGAGCTCCAACCACAACGACTGGTTGAATCGAGAGTATGCAGCAGGAGGGAGCGTCGCCCATGCCGACAGCAGTGTCCAAATTACATCGGTCTATGCATATGTGTATCATCCGTCGAGAGGCGACCCAGGCGGCTTAGTGATCGATCTCCAAAATACCGAAGCATCATATTGCCGTCGTCGTGTCTTTTAATCTCAATTTCTTTTCACCGACCGGTCAGACAAACGTCGACAATGAACGGTTTCACCCGAAAAGTCGAAAGACAGAGACGACATGGCTTACAACTCAAGCCAACCACCAGTCGAATCAAATCGGGAACCTCTTCTGCCGTTTCCCCTTCCACGCGCAGTAACGTTTTTCAAGAAAAAAATACGTGCACGAACAGGGTGCACAATTGCAATGGATGAATTGGAAAATAAGACATGATACGTAGGATCAACTTCGTTACATTTTTCGAGCATCGGTTGTGGGGAACGCATGTACCAATGCCCCTGCTTCCATTTTCGTTTTTACCGCACCTTGCCCGCCGTCTTGCCCAGCTGCTCCGACGTTGCCGTGCAGTCGAGGATGTCGTCCGCGACTGCCCACCGTCAAAAGTCAAAGAGGAGCCCCAACAATCGCAGAAAGAAACAGACGAAAGAGAATCGAAGACACCAACGATCACAATGAGAGTCGTCAATATTACTTCATTTGCATACAACTCTACAACTGCTGTTGAAGTTACAAGATCGAGTACGAAGAACCTGGGGCCTGGGCACCGCCTGGGCACTTGAAGGGTACATCAACTGAAGAAGCCAACTTCCGTCCTTCACTCGCTCGAAAAAAAAAAAACAGCGTTTCTTTAGTTTTCGGTCACTGCATAATTTTCAGTTTCGGGGACGCAGTATATTCGTCTACGAAAACAGCAATCAGCTCGGGTTGAGGGTGCACTAAAATAGCTAGCGCTGGGCTGGGACGAGGGCGGAAGACAAGAAGAGAGGTGCGTGTGTGCTCATATAGCCTTGCATGCCGTTGTCCTTCGACCATTCACCTCGCATCCCCACAAAGCACGCTGGGTTTTTCACCGCACCAGGCTACTGCATGGCACATCACCAAGCGCGAAGCGCCGGGGGGAGGGGGGGGGCAGTCCTTGCCACGAAACAAAATGAACGGCATGTCTTCACACAAACCACGCACTCTTACACCTTTCCCTTCTCCAAGGAAAGACACAGCCAACCTTCGGCGTGCTCCTCATACTTGATCAGCATTAATTTCTTCACATCGTCGTCGTGGGGGGGGGGAGCGTTCTGGACTGGTGGTGATGTGTTTGGGGACCACGTTCTGCGTACACGAACACTCCGTGCAAAAGAAGCGTTGTTTGTTTTTGTAATTTTTTCAGGCCCCCGTTGGTTCTTGCTTATTCCTTTCCTTTTCACCTTGGAAGGCCAGCCCGATGGACTCGCTAAACACCTCCATGTTCTTGACATCCTTGTCCGAGGCCCCGCCGAGGAGAGCCCCCGCTGTGCACGCCACCTAGGTTGAGGAAGAGAAAACACGACAACAACAAAAATTAACGCCCAGAGGTTAACGAACACAACGACAGCAACCAACCTATAGTAGTCAGCAAAAACAAGAAGGAGAAAAAATGAAACCATGAACAAAATGTATTTCTCAACATGACGCCTTCAGGCCACTCAACAAGGACAACAAGCAACAAAGCGACGAAAAGGGGAGTGACTGAAACTAAAACGGCGAAAGAGGATCCCCATGCTCATTGTGACATCATTTTTCCTAACGAACAAAAGCTTGAGATAGTAGCGGTAGATGAAACAAGAGCAGGTGTGGAGCGTATGTTATCTGCATTTGAGTGTTGTCATCCCGCAGCCAGCTCGCCGCCAAAAAACACACCAGGACCGTTGAACAACCAAAGGGCACAATCATGGTTGCGCATCAAACCTAAAACACCCCGTGCAATCCGTCTTGCTACATCGCATGAAAAACGTTCCTGAGTTGGATGGTACAAACAGAAACGATATCACCGCAAACTTTTTCTAGTCCAAGAAGGCCAGCTTCTTAAAATCTACGGTAATTCAAACCTACCGTATGTTGACCTTCCTTCAACGGTAAAACTCTGCTGTCGTAATGAAAAGAGAACGGTTTGTGACAGGTGGAAGACAACAACATTAATTATTTGCTGTGTTCAATCGTCACGTTGAGTCATCGTGCGTACTGGTATGCATTAGTGGTACTTGAAACAAAATAATGGTCGATGCACACAAGAATCATCCAAGCCCACAAAAATAGACGCGCTCGCCTTAAGCAGCGCCCCCGTCTTGTGTCTGTGAATCCATCGCAGCTCCTCCAACCCCACGTCCTTGTCCTCACACTCCAGATCCATCACCTGGTTCATTTTCATGACATACGTTCACCCGGAAGCGCCGTCCGCGGCGCCCCCCCACAGGCCAACAACGACAATAGGTGAGGGGTTGTTCTCTCGGCGCAGCATAGCCCGCATCACCACAAGAACACAAGCTCCTCAAGGTAGGTTAACTGTATTTCTTGTCTTCTAAATGTACCTCTTTCACGACAAAAAATACAAGCGAAAAATTGATTGGTACTGCAATCTTGCTTGATACAATCTCGCTCCTTCATTTTTCCTTTCCCCTATTCCTTCCCCTTCTCCTTCATCTTCCACACATAGCCGTCAGCGACGCTACATCCATCCCGAGCTGGATGCTGGCCGGTGATAAAAAATTCAACACAGCCCCGCCCTTTCAATGGTAGAAACAAATAAGCGCGCGCCGCGTCCTTCCCCAACGGATTGCGTCATAAATGTTCACAACACCGTTTACGGAATGCATCGAGGGGGGTACGCCATCCGCCAAAAGCCCCCCCCCCCTTCCTTCGCCGGTACCCCGCACAGAGTAGTGCTCCGTCCAACGGATGCGTCATAAATACTTCGAAGTAGTAAAAAACGTAACTTGTACGACTGCATCATCTAGTACCCCCTCCCCCGAAGCCCAATCAACCCATCATGGCATATCTAGTTTGGCACAACAAGCGCAAGGATAATGACACTACCAGCTTCTCGGTTCGTCCTTGTAAACGTGTAGACTATATTATAGCCTGGGCCGGCGAAAACCCGGCATATCGCTCCGTCCCGGCAATATTGTAGGGATGCGAGGTCAATGGTCTCCGACTACGGCATGCAGCTACATGATTACCCCCCCCCCGCCCTGGACTGATGTTTGCAGATGATTTCGTGGGGGTATCCGAAACACCAGAAGGGTTGCAAGAACAAATAGATGCGGCGGTAGGATACACCCGAAAATGGAGACTGTCGGCGAACGTAGGAAAATGCGCAGTAGTGGTCTGTACCGAAGACAAGAAAAATCCCGTAGAATTCAAATGGAAATGGGGGGAGGAAGAACTACCGGTAGTAGACAAGTATACGTACCTGGGAGTAGAGATTTCGAAGGAGTGCTCATGGGACGCACACATAGCAAAGTTGATTGGGAAGGGTAAAGCTCAGATAGGCAAGATGGACGAGATCCTTACGGACCCACACCTAGACACTAGGATTAAGAGGTGTATTCTCTTGAATGTGATTGTACCTAAGCTAGAGTATGCAGGAGAGGTATGGGAAGGTAAAGAAAAGGCCGTCAAGCAGCTGGAGCGGCCAAGAAAATACTAGCATGTCCAAGTACAACGAGCAACACTGTATTGAGAGCAGAATTGGGAATGTACTCTCTTAAAACAAAGAGAGACATGCAGAAGTTGAATTGGCAGTACAAGGTAAGTAGAATGTCGGACGATAGACTACCAGCCATGGTTGACAAGGCAGCTTGGGGAAAAGCGACTCCAGGGAAGAAGGGAATCAGATGGGACAAGGTGGTAGAGAAGGTTTGGAAGGAGATAGGAGACGAGGAGGAGACGTTGGACACGGAAGGGTTCGGGGGGTTCAAGACGAAAGTCAAGGAGATGCTAGAGAGTAGGGAGGAGGCAACCCTTCGGAAGAAGGTACGAAGCGAAGACCACTTGGAGATATACGGGAAGTTGAAAGAAGGGATAGGGATGAAGAAGTACTTGGACGGCCCCATGGACTAC